TGAATTTGTCAGGGTTGTGTTATATGAATATGGAAAATGTAATTTTGCTAATTATAAGAGGTACTTATCGCAGAAATGTCGTGTTACTGGTCCAATCGGAAAGGTAGTCAGCTAATCGTGCCACGGTGCACCCGCTGTTTGTCGAATGTGGTGCATCGCAATTCTTGTAAACGTTTCATGAGTCAGTGTGTTGGCCTCCGGGCTCTGGCGTTTTGAATGTGATTAAAGTTGGATCTGTGATCGACTATGATACCTGCTGTGCTACAAGATGAGTTGTCAGCCTGCCAACATGTTCGTCGGCCTGCCAGTCGGTAGAGAAGAGGGCAACTCGTCGTTACGAATCAAAAGGTCAAGCGAGATGCGTGTAGCAAGAAGAATACATCTGAGCCAAGGATCCGGATTCTGTTAGCGACACCACTGATTCTAGCAGCAACTGGCAGAAGGAACAAGTACATCTAACTGTGAGCGTTTCCATCTGCTGGAGACTCCCTGCTTTCAAAGGATATCGTCCAGGGAACTGTAGCGCTGGCGCGCTACAGTTTCAATGCGAATTTTACAACATTTCTCTCACGGCGACGACGGCGTGTGCACCTGGGTTAGGGCGCCGTCGCTGGCGTCACCGCACCGCCGCGCCGGCAAACAGCCGCGGTGCTGCGCCGGGCTCAAAGGGGTGAGGCCGACGAGAGGGGACGCCGGCCGTCCAAAACAACCTGGGAGCAGAGGCGGCGGAAGGAGGAGAAGGAGACCTCAAGACGAGCAGGACGACCACCAGTGCCTGAGGACGCCTCTGTCAGCCGGGAAGCACCTGCACTGTGGAGTGGGGAGCCGAGGGAGAAATGAGTCCAGGAGGACAGCACAGGGACAGTCTGAGCAGAGGGTTCAACAGGGACGGGCCAGGGGCGTCGGCGGGGCCCGGGCGGCCCGAGCCGGCCGCAGGGCCCGTCGGCCGGACGGCGCTGCAAAAACGAGTCGGAGCCTGGACTTTACCAACGACGGCAGGACGCTGGCTTGGCCGGACGATTCGTGCTACCGCTGGCCGGACGGCCGACTACTCTGGACCGCCAGCAGTTTCAGCAAGCAGCATCCGCTGGCCACCTGCGGCCTCACCATCAGGCAAGGTTTGGCCAGGATTTGGTCGGGCGCTGGGCTGCTAACCTTTCTATCCTTTTGCCCAGCTCCGACCCACTGATGTTTCTCTCTGATGATGTTTCTCCTGGTTGAATCCTCTTTGACAGGAACGGGAACAAACAACCCCAACATGGCGAGAGGCTCGGCTGTAACACCAATGCTGGGCCCAGTCAAACTCGCGGATGTTTTTGGTATGTATTACCTACCCAGTTTTCGCCGACGCTTTATGCGAAAGAATTCTGGTCCCAGTATAGGGAACACAAGTCACCACTAAACAGCGAAAGCAAAACAAGTGGGCGACGCTAAAGCTGCAAAGATTACTTCTTAGTAACACGTAGCAACATACCAAAATGGAACACGCTTTTACAGCGGAAGAAGTAAAGAAGATCTCTCCACACTACAGAGGGGATCTAAAGAACTTCGATCCAACCAAAGTCAAGTCAAAAGCCGGCAAGCGAACTATCCGGGAAATCACAGGCAAGGCGCCACCACCAGCGCAAGCGAAGAAGTCTCAGTTACCAACAGAGCTCCCGCCACCGCGCAAACTGGAGGCTGCCAAGACACCGACACCTCAGCGGAATCATGACATCCTGTCAGAAGCTATATACGCACTTGGAGAGCGTTGCTAGGCAACGGTGTTGTTGTTTGAGATTCCGATATTTATATTACTTTTTCAGGTAATTAAACTGTAAGCATGACAGTAACCTGATAAAAGAACGTCGGAAAAGTGCAATATCAGTTGATTATGTGTCTCAACCTTCAGATTTACGGGGAGAGGCTGTAAGTGAGATTTCACTTTTTGGAGACGAACTTGGCGCATTCAACTGACAAATGAAGTTAAAACTTGTTTAAAACAATTAAATAATTGAAAGTTTTGCTGGAAATATCACAAGAAACCTATTCTGGAACTGATTCTTCATATGTGCTATCGCTCTGCATGCTGCATGATCTGATCTGAATCCTGTTGGTGGCTACAAGTTGGCTGCCACGGGCCACCTTCGTCATCTCCAGTCATCTATCATCCTTCCTTCCTTCCGTGTCTGTCAATCTGTATCTTGACTTCATCTGTCCTGTCTTCAAAGAGGTCTAAATACTGTGTCAGTGACATCAGATTTGCCACCACTGAACCTGTATAGTGAAGGGAGATGGCAAGCAAGGTGTCACCTCACTCAACGAGAGCCCGTAAACTCCTTCCCCGGGAGGTAACGGCATCACCTCAGAACCAGAAAAAGGATGTGACAGCTCTTATTGAGACAGCAGTTAAAGCTGCAATACAAAAGGCAGAGGTCTCACTAAGCACTACATTGAAGGATACCTTGAAGACTGCTGTTAGTCAGATGGCAAATACCATCGGAGAACAGCTGGCGTCTGATTTGCGTGATGCACTGCGAAACATCAGTGAAGAAATGGAACGCTTGTCACGAAGGCTCAAAGAATGTGAAGCAAAGCTACAGGAGCAGTCAGCCCCAGTGCCAGCTTCAGCTTCTGTCGAGATTAGACCACCACCATCAAACACCACCATTCAGCGCCAGACGTTTGATATTGACAGGCTGGAGCAGTACTCCCGAAGGGACAACATCCGAATCAGGGGAGTGCCCCAGGATGAAAGAGAGGACACTGACCAGATCATCATTGATCTAGCAAAGGAGTGTGGAGTCGTGATGTCCAAGCAGGACATCAGCACATCTCACCGGATACAGACGAAAAAGGACACAGGAGGACCGCCACCAATCATAGCAAGGCTGGTTCGAAGGGAAGTAAAGATCAGTCTGATGAGGGCAAAAAGGATCCTGAAAACCAAGCGCAAGAACGTGTATATTGACGAGGACCTCACCCCTCTCAGAGCAAAGATGTTCTTCGCTCTACGGAAGGACCCGGATGTCGGCGCAGTCTGGACCATCGACGGACGGATCCACTGCAAAATGAACGGGAAGGATGAAAAAATCATCATAGACTCTCCAGTGGACCTCTTCACCATCGGGTGGTCCGACGATAAGGTGAAGCCATTCTACTAGGACATCAGCGACCCCAGGACACCCACATCCCGAGGAAATGAAGTGAAACAAGTAAAATCCCAGACTGTTAATAACACTGATCCCAGCCTTTACAAACAGAGAGTGAAATTCCTCAGTCTCAACGTTAATGGGATCCGTAGTAAACTTAAGTATGGACTGATTGATAACTACGTAATGCTGTTTGACATCATCTGTCTGGTTGAAACAAAATCAGATGAATTCCAATTGAATTGGTTTCCAGGTTATACGGCAGTACCCTTGGAAAACAGATCAAAACACTTCCCTTATGGTGGTGTACATGGTGTGTGTATTCTTTTTAGGACATTGTTTTGTAGACATATCAAAGTTATCACTGGAATGCGTTCTCCATTCGTTCAATGGATTCTCGTTAAGAAAGAGGCTTATGGGAAAGAGTTTATTGTAGGAGGAGCATATTTTCCTCATGAAGGTTCGAAATACGCACAGGAGGAAATGTTTGATGATCTCATGTTTGACCTTACTAACTTAAATGGGAGGTATGAAGCACCCATAATTCTTCTGGGTGATTTCAATGCCAGAACTGGAGTAATTGATGACATTTTGCCAGTCGAAAGTGCTCATGTGCCTGGCTTCGCTTCTCAGGACACAAATAGCTTCCATTCCTATGAGCACTCGTCCCTCTTAGGAGCTAACATGAATCGTAGTAGTCAGGACCAAGTGTCAAATAGCCATGGCCACCAGCTTATTCAGTGTCTCAGAGCTGCTGACATGAGGATTGTTAATGGCAGATTTGGAAAAGATGCTGGTGTTGGCAGCTACACATGTATGAATGCAAATGGACAAAGTGTCATTGATTATATTATAATGTCAACCTGCCTTCTCCCTGACATATTATCTTTTGAAGTAGATGTACTGGACAAATGTTTATCTGACATTCACTGCCCCCTTAACATGGACATTGCTTTCAAAGACCGAATGCCGGAGAAGAATGTCCATGCCCCTACCTATGACGATATCTTTGAGTCCGACCACAATGTCAGTGACAAACCAGTATTACTTACTTCCTGGAAAAGCGAACTGGCAGGTGCATTTACCGCTGGTTTTAGTAATGATAATATACAGCTTTTAACTGAGGAAATGGACAATGCAATAGACAACATGCAAACACTTTCCAATGCTAGTATAGATGCACTGTCAAACAATCTATGTGAAATTTTACTATCACCTGCCAGGACACTTGGAATGTGCAGGCTGAAACAGTGTAACCAATCTGAAGCAAAGTGGCATAAACGTCAATCAAAACATAATGCTAAAATGCAAAAGACAGATAAACCATGGTTCGATGATTTGTGTAAAACCAAGCGCAAGGAATACTTGTCGGCCAAACACAAGTCCAAGCTGAGTAAATCTGACCATGACAGAGTTAATGTGGGTAAACTTGCTAAATCTTACAAAAGACTTATACAGAAAACCAAGCTTAGGTATAATCAGGAGCTGCATGAACTCCTCAAGCACCTGAAACCTCACGACCCTAAGGAATACTGGAATATCCTTAAGAAGCCAGTCCAGAGTAAAGTAAAAGACCACCCTGTTCCGCTCCAGGCTCTTATGGCCCACTTCAAAAAGATAAGTTATGATGCTGATGCAGTTGTAAACACTCAGCCAGACCCGCTGACTCTGGTGGACAGCTTCAGCATAAATGAAGCAATAAATGGCCCTTTTGATGAAAAAGAAGTTGCAACGCAGTTGAAAAGGCTTAAAAACAACAAAGCGTGCGGAAACGATGGAATTCGTAATGAGTTCATGAAGTACTCCCCTAACTCGTTTGTCATGTGTGTCACTAAGCTCTTCAATGTGGTACTTGAGTCTGGTCTAGTACCTACAGACTGGACTGTTGGGGTAATCAAACCTCTTTTCAAGGGAAAGGGTTCTCCCGATGATCCTGACAATTACAGAGGGATTACCCTCCTTAGTTGCATAGGGAAACTGTTTACAGCTGTGATAAATCACAGACTTACACTATATATTGAAGGACAAGGTCTTATTGGCGATGAGCAGGCTGGATTCAGGGCAAACCACTCCACAATTGATCACATATTTGTTCTCAAGTCCATCATAGAGTTATATTCATTTCACCACAAGCGTTTGTATTGTGCTTTCATTGACTACAAAAAAGCTTTCGATCTAGTGAATAGGGCAATGCTTTGGAGGAAGCTTATTTCCAATGGCATAAATGGTAAGATATTAAGGGTCATTTATAACATGTATGCCAATGCCAAGTCATGTATACAAGAAGGGTCTAGTGTCTCTGATTTATTCACTTGCAATATTGGTGTAAGGCAAGGCGAAAATCTCTCACCACTTTTATTTGCACTGTACCTAAATGATTTTGAATTAACGATCTCCAAAAAGTTCAAGGGTCTAGAATTTCTCAGCAACGAAATCAAAGAGGCTTTGAGCGATGATGACGTGGAGTACTTTATGAGGATATTTTGCCTGCTTTATGCTGATGACACGATAGTCCTTGCTGAAACTCCAATAGAATTACAAGCTGCCTTAGATGCTGTTCATAGTTACTGCCAGGACTGGCAACTGACCGTAAATACTGCAAAAACGAAAGTTGTAATTTTCTCAAGAGGTAGAGTTAAAAAAGCACACACTTTCTGCTTTGGTAATGAACCACTTGAAGTGGTACGTGAATATACATACTTAGGGACAGTCTTCTCATCCAATGGCTCCATGAAAGCTGCCGTACTAAAACAAGTAGCACAAGCTAATAGAGCCCTCTTCAAACTCTGCTCAATAATATCATCGCTTAACTTGCGTATCGACACATGTTGGGAACTTTTTGATAAGATGGTTGTACCTGTTTTACTATATGGCTGTGAAGTCTGGGGATTAAGCCATATACAGTACATAGAAAACTTTCACAAAAAGTTTATGAAGCACCTGTTAAAAATAAGCAAGTACTCAGCCAATTGCATGGCTTATGGTGAATTGGGCAGAACTACACTAGAAGTAGTTATAAAAAAACGAGTCATTGGCTTCTGGATCAGACTAATAAATGGCGATAAGCACAAGCTTTCCTACATTATGATGCAGCTTCAGATTGATAAGCTCCAAAACTCAAACTTCAAGCCTCAGTGGGTGTCCAGCGTAAAAGACATTCTTGATACTTCCGGACTTGGGAATTATTGGCTTAATGCTCCTGGCAAGAATGAAGGAGCATTAATGGTCATTGAAACACGCCTTACGGATATGTTTAGGCAGTCATGGTCAGATTCTGTACAATCAAACTCACTATGCCTTAATTACAGAATGTTTAAAGATGTACTTCATGCTGAACCTTATTTGACACTCCTTGATACAAAGGATCGAGTCACCATAACCAGATTCCGTTGTGGAAACCAGGGCTGCGGAGTCGATGGATTTTCGGCGACTCCGACTCCGACTCCGACTCCGGCTTTCAAAAACCAGCTCCGACTCCGACTCCGACTCCGGGCAGAATTGTCGACTCCGACCGACTCCAACTCCCGACTCCGACTCCGCAGACATAGGAGTCGACAGATTTTCGGTGACTCCGACTCCGACTCCGGCTCGGGTTTCTAAAATCGACTCCGACTCCGACTCCGACTCCGGTCACAACTGTCGACTCCGACCGACTCCGACTCCGACTCCGACTCCGACTCCGCAGCCCTGGTGGAAACCATAACCTACCAATAACAGGGAGCAGAAGGCAGCACAATGCTATCCTGAACAAATGCTCACTCTGTAAGCATAACGCACCGGGTGACGAATTCCATTACATTTTAGAATGTCCAGCATTTAAAATACAACGTACATCCTTACTGCCATCATATTACTGGAAACGCCCAGATGCAAACAAATTCAAACACCTTTTCTCGTCTGATAACAAGAAGCTGTTGTATCAGCTGTCCAGATTCATCCGGCACATAAATGCATCCTTTCAGTGACTATTCCAGTGAGTGAGTGACTACTTGAGTGAGTGACTACTTTACTGACTACTCCTTGACTATTTCTTTTCTGACTATTTTTATTTTCTTGACTATTTTGTTTCTGACCCTCTCCTTGCCTTCCCTCCCTCCCATAAAATGCAATACACGTTGTCCATTTCAACTTTACATGTAGTCCATCTTGCAGTTAATCCATGGCCCATCTCAGAGTCTCAGGAAGCGCACCTTTAATTACTTAAAAATGTCCTGTAACTGTGTATATGCTAAATGTGTATGTGTAAATATTGAACCACGGTCACTTTGTGCAAGATGTAAATGTGGCACGATGCTCGTCACGAGGTTCGCCATCTCACTATGCGTTGCTGATCACAAGGCGTGCGATGCTCGGTTATTGTGTTCGTTTATGTGTGTATGTGTGTTCATGTGTATGATCTTCCCATACCCCAGATGGGGTCGCGGAAATAAATTTGAATTGAACCTGTGATGTGGTGCTCATGATATAGATAACAAAAAGTTAAACCCCAACTCGGGTTTAACAACTGCAACACTTCAATATATTTTCGGTTCAATACGTGAGCCATGTGTAGTGTGTGCTACATACGTCTATGGGATAAATTGCCGTTGGTATCCGTATTCTAATGCAGGGCAATAAAGTCCATCAATAACAGCCGCAGGGATTCATCATAGCATGGTGGCCAGTGATCATGTCGTGTGTGCCTACATATCTTAGGTGTTAGTGGTACTGATGGATTTAATAGTTTGCAATTAACTATAAAATTTTGACCAATGGCCACCTATGTTAGGTAATATATTGTGATAACACAAACTGGTCATACCTCTGACCAGGCTTGTGCCAAGATCCCAAAAATTCAGGATCCGCTGGATCCATGATCTGGGAATCCAGGTAGATCTTAGATCCAGCAACTCAGATTTTGAGAAGAGATCCAGGGGATCTTGGATCCAGTAACTCTTGGATCCAGTAACTCTTACTTTGTTGAGGGATCCAGGGGATCTTGGATCCAGCACTACACAGCTTGTCGAGGGATCCAGGGAATCATGGATTTTGGATCTACTCTGGTGCTTTATCAAGATATGTTAAGAATCTTGGATCCTCAATTAAAATTTATTCATTTTCTTGGATAATTTTCCTTCAAACTCCTGAGTAGAAGGCTTTGGGTGCTATTGACAAAGGATGCATTTCAGGTCACAATCGGATGTAAGATTTTGTGCACACACCCTCATGTCTTATTGGCAACTACCCAAGTGGCTTGTGGTTACTACTTAGTGCCAAACATTGAGCAGAAGTAGCAGTATTTAGTATTGCATAAATAAGCTGTGGAGTCCAAACAGTAATACCAAACAGTACCATGTGATTTTCTCATTGTTTGCAGATGCACTGCACTTAGATAGTTACGTGCTTCATGCCAGTGGACAAGATGAAGCACTCTGAACGCCAACAAAAGAAGATACAGTTCCAATTCATGCGACTTCGGAAAGATGTAAGCAAATGAAGCTGGCAGCTGGCACCTATCAATAAGATTTCATTGCTGGTGCTTGGAGCAGCACTATTGTTGAATGATCACAGGAGTAAACATATTTGCAATAATAATGCATCCATAAACTATTGCAAAATGTTTTCTAGAAAATGTTCAATCACCCATTGGTAGTTTCAGCTGTATCAAATACCAACCGTCATCTTGCTATGTAATAGTGAGTGTGTCATTCGTAATCATGTACTTTGGTGTCGCACAATGGTAACAATCCATGACTCTCCTCAATGCAGGACCTATATGGCGACTTCAAGTCCCCCGGTGGCAACCAACGCAAAACAAAGGCATGGGCAGAAGTGAAAGCGAAAGCCTTGGAGCTGAGGTTATGCAAAGAGACCCACACCATTCACCAATTTAAAAAAGTGGTTCATAATGCCATCTCCCGAGTGCGAGGTAAGAGTGTTTTTTTTTCAGCCTTTATTCAACCTACTACACATGCCAATCTGCCGCGAGAGTTGCCTCCATTCACCCTTCCAGTTAGTGCCTTCTGAAGAGTATCAGTGAACGCTACATGTGAACGGGCGCAGCTCCAAGCGCTAGTCCGAAAAGACGGCGATAGTTTCAGTCGGACATTTCGTCAGCCGGCTAATCCTTCAAGCCCACAAATGTAACTAACCCGGAATCAGGAGTGTCTCATGTGCAGCGTAGATGTTTGCGGTTGATGTATTCGTTGCGTGCGCGCTGCCCAAGCTAGCTTGCGGGTTCGGGTGGGGTTAGTGGGCGTTTCTTCCTCACCCAAAAACATGCAGTGGTGACCGCCATGTAAATATATAGACCCACAACCACTGTCATGTTTTTGCTAGCGCAAGCGTAGCGGAGAAATGTAACTTCTCCGCCGAGCAGTGGGAAAACACAGCGCTGGGATTGCACAATGCACAACCCTCTGCGCTGATACCGAGCTCCAGCGTAAGTTCTTTTCCATATCAGATATCACACTGCCCCGAGCCCTGCAAATGGCCAAACAGGAGGAGGACATCCAATCTCAAGTCAGTGACTTACATGCTGGATTCAGTCAGACACTCTGCGGTCTCAAAAATTTCAGCTCCGTCTCCGCCGGGAGAGAACGTGAATCGTATGTGGTGTGACCTGCCGGACTCGGTAGCGACTACCGCCGGTCATGACGTCCACTCGAAGTGTCTCACTTTCCGATGCGATCCCGCTCCTATCCCGAACGGGCCGGCTACGTGAAAATCCGGAATTCCCGATCGGGATCGTAGCGGGATTGCTGGCTGGGTGATGGCTTGATTTGCAGCATTTGCACTCATATTCCTACAAACCAATGTGTTGTACTGTACCGTTCATGCTTGGTACCGCATTAGGTCTAAATGTGTGAATGCAATGTCAGGCGATGCTCCGTTGTCGCCTGTCTTTACAATCCAAAATGTTTCGCAAACCCAACTATTGACACATACCAATGTGTTTTTCTGCATCGACAGGTGTAACTTCGGCACATTCTCCATGGAGGAAAGAGTGTCGATTTGCCGGCGAGTACCTAGTCCTGGCATTTGGATATCCTGAACAAGCATTATTGCCTTTAAACTCAGTTTATTGCATGCCGGTATCAATATCGGCAAGTGCTTATGTGGAATCCTTTCGTTCCAACTATCCTGGGAAGTCTGGTTTTGATAACCTGGATTCCGACATTTTCGACGATTTCCCATACCTGTGTAGTGGTCTGAGGGGCATGGATTCGCGGGTTAGTTTATGTCGCGTACGAGACGGAACTGCCACCGTTTTTTTTCAACTAGGTATTTTTGTGCTTCAGGGCTTTATTAGAACCTTTTCTCGACTTGCCTTCCATAAATCAGAAAACTCAAGAGCTCAGGAGGAAGAATACCGTACCAATAGGTTGCCTTCCCGTGTTTCTCGAAGAAGCCTCCTCGCCGCGAAGACGAATGGAAATGTGAAGACTGAAACAGCAGCTGAGAATAGATGTGGGAAGCAATTGGAGCGACTATGTGGGTTGCATGCGGTTCTCACATAGGGGCTCATCTAGCTGGCCGATAGAGTCCCACGTGACACTCGCCGTCATTTTCACCTGCAGCCCATGCCCCATATGGAACAGATGGAAATGCCTCGAAACATGTGAAAAGACGGCGTTTGCTGGATGTTTGCAGGGTGTGTCAGACTACCTAGCAGTGTGATTGCAATGCACATGGGACAACAGAACATTGCACACATAAATACGATGATGAGTGCGCCGAGCACCGGTACATACCAGCCCTGCAGCAGGTCGGTGGCGAGGGCGTCCGGTCGACTAGCTGGGCCGGTAGTTCTGCCTGGCCAGGTACGGGTTGAACTGGGCGTTGTAGCGCTGTCGCAGCGGCGGCTCGGTGGGCGCCGGCGCGGACGGCGCCTCGGCCGCCGACCCGCCCGCCCGCTGGCTCATCAGACGCTCGGCGCGCTGCCGCTCCTCCCGCTCCCGCTTCAGCCGCTCGGCGCGCAGCCGCTCCAGACGTATCCGGCGTGCGGCCTCCTCCTCGGCAGCCGAGCTGCTGCCCTCAGAACTGCTGCTGGATTCACTCGGACTGGGCGAACGGCGGCGCCGCTTCTTGGACGACTTGTGACTCTTGTGGCTTGGTGATCTAGACCTAGTCTTTCGCTTAGAACGTTTCTTTTTCTTTGCTTTTCGATGCTTTCGCTGCTCTTCGCGATGACGGCGTTTCTTGTGTGTTGTTGTCGCCTCGCTCTTGCAGCGAGTGTTTGCTGTATCAGTTGCTGTGTCAGGCCTGGAGTGACGGCGAGGGGTGGAAACAGTGACAGAGCTCGGACCGGCGTCGCTGGAGTCTTTTGTGTCCCCCGTGAGCCTCTTCACCACTGCCAGTGGGTCCTCACGGCACTTAGCTCTCCGGTTGACCTCCTCGCTCCCCCCGGCTGTCGCCTCTGCCGACCGGTTCGCTGGCAGTGACTCGAACCACGCCTTCTGCTTGGTCTCTTCACGCGACCCCTGACCCAGGTAAGTCAAATAGCCGATACTCTTTTCGTACTTCTCCTTCTCTTCTCTTTGTTCCCGCAAATATTCCTCATTTGGACCAGCAGTTCTCTCACCTTCTTCGAGATGTTGGAAGAAATTGATGTGCCCTGAAGTCCCTGTGATGGAAATGACCTTCTCGGCAGAGCTCTGCCCCGGCTCCAGTTGCGGCTGCTGATCACCAGATGTCTCGCCGATCGCCTTTCGCCGCTCTGACGCCTGTTTGCGCAGGATACTTGTGCGAAACTCTTGTTCCTGCGGAAGATGGAATGACATTAGAAACGGCATAACACGAAACAGCACTTCACCGGCTCACTGCCCAGATTGGTCGCCAAAAGCTGGTCATGTAGCCAAGTCACCACTTGACAAAATCAAGGCCAGCGTCGCATAATTAAAAAAAAAAAACACGAAAATAAGTTAGAAAACGAAAAAGACCTAGGGATTTTCAGAACAGGAGAGATTGGCAACGTCGAGCCGTCATCCAATTTTCAGGTCACGGATGACAAGCTCGTTTAGAACAGGCATCTAAGTAACATTCTTCCATTCAAAGTAAGAAAAAAGTGCAATTATCGCCACTGATTTTTCACCATTGTGATCATAAACGCTCTCAGAGGAAACAATACTGTCATTTGCAACTGGAAACAGTGCCTCTACGATTGCTGTAAAATTATCGGCAAATATATATATTATCTGATTCTTGTCTGTGTCTGTTTGTGTGTGTCTTTCTTGGGGAGGGAAGGAGGGGCTCCCGACTGTTAAAGACGCTTTCTATCGCCGATAATTGCTGCCTCGTTCCGTTCCGCTCAGGCGGGCCCGGAATGCGAGGCCGGGTGAGGCGGCGGCACAGAGTGGTGCGCAGCAGTGACACGCTGCGCGGAGTGTCGCGCCAGCCGGGTGTCGCCGTGACGCGTACTGAGACACGCGCCACCGTGACCAAGGTCGGGAGTGGGACAACACCAGCCCGAGGGGCACGCACATCGGCCGCGTCACGGGCCGGTGACGCTCTCTGAGCCGGGGACCCGAGAGCGGCGCCCGATCGGGCCGGCAGTGGGCTGGTGACGGGCGGCGAGAGAGGACGGACAGAGAGCTTGGTGGTAACACGCATTCAATGCGCTGTAATGTATCTCATGGATATCCAAGGCTTGGTATTTTGTGCTACGTAAGCCTAAGCCCCAATTTTTCGGACTGATTCGATGGAAACACAAGTGAGTGTTGCAGTTTCATGCAAACATGATTCGTACGTTGGTAGTCGCAGGATTTGTGCTAAACGGAGTGCATCAACAAAACATCAGCGACAAGTGTGAAGGAATGACGATGACGCCTTGCCATTTGAACACGCCGGTCAGCTCTCCGGGCGGAGCCTGCCAGGGCGCGCTGCCGGCGAGTGACCTGGGGCCCGCCGCCGGCTCGCCAGGCCCGTTCACCTTCTCTGGCGACACCTGCGGCTGCCTGCAGAGCTCTGTGAGCGGCGCGCGTCACCCGGTACACCGGTGGATGGAGGAGCGCCTCGGTCAGATGCTGACTGCCGGCTGGCGGCGCGGCTGCGCGGCCGCCGACATCCACCAGCTGACCGGGCCCGACGGCATCTCCGTCCGGCTGCACGGCCTGCGGCGGCTGCAGGTCACACGCGCCTGGCTGGCGCCGGACTCGGTCCTCTACGCCTCGGCGCGGCTGGACGGCGGCTGGGCCGAGCTCACACTGGCCGGCGACGGGTCACAGATGCGAGCCGGCCCGCTGCGGCTGCGGCTGTCGGCAGCTTCCATCCGACTGCGAGTGGCCGGCCGGCTGCAGCTGCGACACGCAGCCGACGGGCCGCGGCTCCGACTGCAGGACCTGGCCTTCCAGCTGCAGCTGCCGCAGGCGCCCCGGGTCCGAGCGGACGGCACACGAGAGGCCGACCAGGAGCTGGCCGCCGCGCTGGACGAGCTACTGGCGGCTCGGTTTGGCCGCCTGGCCTGGGTGGCCAACCGGCGACTGAGCTGCGTGCTGACACACTGGGCGCGACGGTATATCAATCAGCAGCTCGCGGCACTGCCGCCCCATGACGCCATGGACCTGATACGAGCCGCGCTGAAGGGGCAGCCAGGCGGGGTATGCAGCGGAGCCCAATCCCTCCCGGCCCAGGTGCGCCGGCTCGCCGAACAGGACTACCGGGCACCGACCGCGTACGACTTCTGATGGCGGACCTCGCCGCCACAACGACATTCGTGAAGCACCGACAGCCGTCGGATGTGAAGGTGCAGGGCAACTGGAGGACATCGGATGGCGGTCATGCTCTTCAGCGGCGGGCTACGTTCTCCTGCAGAGACCAGGAGGCCGAACGCCGGCTCCCTCCCCAAAGGAAGCAAAGGATTTGGCGGCGACGGATTATCAACAAGACCGAAAAACAGCTATGCGCGCACCCACACAACCGTGTAAATCTGACATAGGCACGAGCCAACCAGCTGAGGGATATAAAACACTGATTATGCCCTGTAGGGGCCACATCGTCACATTGTATGTCCTGACCTCCAAAATTACGAGGGCTTGTCAGAACTGAAAGTAAAATGATACCTACAATCTGTAAAAGTGATGTGCAAAGCGACAGAAAGCTCAATTATATCTATTGTCCTGAAAGTAAAGGTTGAAAAGTCGGGTCAGTAAAGCGCATCCCTCTCTTCCTGGCTGTTGGGATAAAAAACTGTTGGACACAAAAACCAATCGGTGCACACATCAGCATACACACAGACATACAAATACATATCATTGATCTTGACCTAGCTTGACCTGAAATAACCACAGCCAGTAAAAGCCTAGTTAGATATTGTGACAAGACAAAGAGCTGTTCTAGCTGGCTTGGCACCACAAACGGCAGCGCCATCGGTATATGGTTGGCACTGCACGTGATATTCCAACGTTGGCCTTAAACAGCAACATTTTTAGTTTGACCTGACCTGGAAGGTCAATGATTGACCTAATGAGGTAAAATTGGATACCATTGGATTCGTCTCTTCCAAAAGAATCTGTTGGTCTTTGCCGCGAAGCTCTAGCTCCAGCAGGAACGAAATGGTGCGGGGGGTGACAACTGACAACCCCCCCCCCCCCCTCCATGTGCGTTCTAGGATGGGGAAATGGCATGTGCGCGCGGATTAAGCGAAGTTATTAACCAAAAACCGAACCCGTCCCTTAGGCCACCTGACGTGACCTCAGAGGTGCATTAGGGGCGAAACGGCAGGGGAGTCGTACCAACCACTTCCCCTCCCCTCGACCAGGTCATATGTAGAAAACCCAAGAGATCCGGCGAGGCTTAAAGGCTGCCTACGATGTCAGTCATCTCACTCGAGTACAGTCCACTTCAGACACACCTTCAGGGGTTAGTAGTCCGAAGATCGACCAGCCCAGTCAACACTTAACCCGCGCACCGACGGGGGGGGCGGATATCCGCCCCCCCCCCCCCGAGGTTTTTCGCGGATAGCGGGAAAACCGCGGCGCGTAGCGCCGCGAAATTTGGTACGACTATTCTCTCATCAATTTTACACATGGTGTGCAAGTTTGAACCTCCTAACTTTTAAGGTCAGGTCACCAGGTCACTTTGAATGACCCAACCTCAAGTCACTTTTTTGCAACTTTGTCACCGTGCCAGAGCTACAGTAGATGTCGGAGGCATTTGAAAGTCGCAGGATGTTATAAGGTCATTAGTAGCTACAATTTGTATATCTCGGAATTTTGATGTCGGTGACCTAAGGTCAGGTCAATTTCGCGACCTCCCCATTATAAGTCAATGGGGGAAAAATCAACTCCCTGTTTTTACCACTAAAACGGGTCGGAATGGCCCCATATACCATGCATGACTTCATATACGATCAACCTTCACTACCTTGAGGTCTGTTTTGCTGTTGGGCAGCTGTAAGGTCATGTGACATCATCAAAGGTCACCAGCGGTTTTTTGCCAATAACTCCGTACAGGAACAAGAGACAGCCGCGCGGATGGTCTCATTGTGTTCAGCTCATCAAGACGCATCGAATGATATACATGATGACCTCAAGGTCACGTGACCTGAGGTCAACCTTTGACCTTGACCTTTCGAGGTCAACATATAGGATATCATTCGATGCGGATTGACGAGAGGATCCCGATGATGCCCTTAGTTTGTTCCTATCTTGACTAATTCAAAAGTTATTCGAGAAAAACACTCTCCATATCTAGCGCCGCCATTTTGACTTTTTCGACCCCAGTGACGTCATCTTTGAACTGACCTGAAAATGACCTTTGTAAAAATTGTAGACCTTGTTCGTGCGTATCCGATGCCGTTTACCGCTTGTCGCTATCTTGCTTCGTTCTCGAGATCGCAGGGGGGCGGTCATCCGCCCCCCCCCCCCCGTCGGTGCGAAGTTGGCGCAGACCCCCGTCGGTGCGCGCCGCGGGTTAAGTCCCAATCATCCGAGGGCTGTCACCCCCGTTCCCGGTTTTCCATCCTCAAGACAGATAAATCCTACTCCTTCACGCCTCTTTCCCCTGCTCCGAGCTCGACGGGCAGCTTTATCCCATGCGGGATTGACTGTAAGAGCACGCCCGTAGCCGGGTGCGGTGAGTGATTGGGGGGCTGGTCGGCCTGTCCTCTAGACGGACTCAGCCCTGAGGGGTGTTCACGGGCACCGCACACTGCTGCGTGCAGTGTGTGCGGTGCGTCCAGCAGGCGTGGGGGTAGGGATGGGTGGGCGGCTCTGACGTTACGGCTGCGTGCGGTGGACGATCCGCTGTGGCCAGTCCCGACCGGCCACAGCGGTTGCTGTGTGCGGTGACGGAAGGCTGACGTAGGGACGCAGTGGGCGGAGCTTGGAGGCTGGTCACAGCCGCACCTCTACCACCTGGTAAGTGGTAGAGCTCAACGTGTACCTAATTGATTTACACAAATTTTTTTAAACAACATTTGTTTCTTGAGCTTCAACAACTAAGTGTTTTCATTAAAAACTATTTTTCAAAATGATGCAGGGTTGGTGGGCGATTATAGCACCTGTAACCCAGAGAATGGTGGAGAGATGATAAAAAAGATTGACCTACCGCCAAGGCCACTCTACGCAGTCGCTCCTTCTCCTGTTCTGCTGCGGCAGCCTCATCACGGCGCACTCGTGCAATGTTCTCCTTGGTGCGCACATGCCATCTCTTCTTTGGAAGAATATTCATGGTGAATTGATTTCACAAGAAATCATCAAAATAGTTAGCCTGTAATAAAAGAAAATGATCACTCATTGACCCAGGGCATGCAGATTGCCATCAACAAAAAAAAAGGATGCTGAAGCATTACACCTTCAGAACAAACCGTATCAATCATAGGCAGCGGAACGGGGAGGGCACTGGGGCACCGTGCCCTTTGATTTTGGCATTTTAATGTTAGCCGGAAAAACGTTGCATGGGCGTTGCATGGAAAGAATAGGACCAAAAGTCGGCAGTGCAACCCCCCCCCCCCCCTTGGTGTTCCACCGCTACTGAACCGTATGACGTGCGTATGACAACATATCTCATTTTTTTAAATAACACCCTCAGGAGTCAGGACCAAAACATACAGAACATCAACAGAACATAATAACCACCGAATAATGATGCACAACAGCAGTGTTGCCGTTGGGAATTTTCGACACGTACCAGATTCTGAGTGAGAATGTACCAAAACGAACCTATTTCGTACCATATGGGGTATGCCAATGTACCAAGTTATGTACCATTGTATAAAATACACCAAAACGTCATACCTAGATCAGCAAGATTCTACATCAATTCCGGTCAACTCCTGTGTTTGGTGCTCATATTTGGATTTATGCGACATCTGCTGTCCGTATCCATTTCATAATATGATTTGCTTTAACCGCATTGATGTTACGTAAGTCAGGCTAACAATAATTGTAACTTCTCATACTTACTATATTGCTAAGGAATATAGTTATACTTCGTTTTTTTTTTCAACACCGGTTTGGCTCCAAGTTCATTATCGAAGCTCTCAGGTTAGTTTTGGCAACTTCAGCGTCTGGCCAATAATTTATTACCGGTAAAATTGTAGCGCACCGCCGCACGTTCTGCGACGCGGCGCGGCACTACCGCCGCTGGCGACTGGCGAGCGCTCCGACGCGGGGCGGCGCCACCGTCGACCTCAACGTGGCGCTGCTGTCGCAGCTGACGCGAGGCGCAGGTTCAGCGATATCCGCCAGATGGCTCTGCTCCACTTGTTCATTTTTTATGTCCGATTTATTAATGTTTTAGAAATGTATGTTCGTGTGTATGTATCATAATGTTCATCGTCGTGTGGGCATTCACGCACTCTTCTAGAAAGTATCTCTCGCTCTGATATACGTTTTCTCACTGCTTTGTACTGTCCTTAACTTTGCCAAAACGAACTATGGTTTCATCGTGTGTTCACTACATAGCTTGCTCATGCTGATTCAAATACTTCGCTATCCTTGGCCGATCTAAGTGTTTGGGGGAGACGGCTCCACATCAGGGAACTTCCCAGCCCGTCGTTGTGTGGAATCCCAAGTTGCGGATCCCAAACACTGGAACGGCTTCATCCGGCTTAGAGCACGACTCGCCACGGCACCAGCCACAAATAGTGACCCCGACGTGATCGGTAGCTCAAGAAGTCATCGTCTCCGCCTCGGCAAGAAGAGGTCATCTTTGACCTGGCCTCCCCACCGCCTCGGCAAGAATGGGTGATCTTCACCCGGCTTCCGCTGCCGCGAACAGTGAATAGTGTGCTGGTGACGTGGCCTAGCCTCAGCGCAACGAGCGCCCAACGCAGTGCAGCGCAGCGAGCGCCAACGCAGTGCAGCGCAGCGAGCGCCAACACAGTGCAGCGCAGCGAGCGCCAACGTAGTGCAGCGCAGCGAGCGCCAGCACAGTGAGCACAGTGAGCGCGGCGAGCGCCTAGTGATTACCGACAGTCTTTCAGTGTGCCTCTAGTGTTAGTGTTTGCTGATATAGTGACTATGCCGTCACCCACCGAGCCGGAGAGTGCCGCCCAGGACGCGCCGACGCGGCCATTCGCGTCGTTCCGGCTGCCGGCCTACGCACCTGAAGAAGCCGAGCTCTGGCTGGTGCAGGTCGAGTGTGCCTTCGCCGTCGCCGGCATCACGGATGACCACGACAAGTTCCGGCTGCTGGTGGCCAACCTGCCTGTGCATGTCGCTTCACAAGTTCGAGACGTGATAACAGCCGAGACCGGCTCGTTCTCAGAACTAAAAGGGGCCCTGAGCACGCGCCTGGCCCAGTCGCGCGCCTCACGCCTCGAGGCACTCCTCCGCGACCACCAGCTGGGCGACAGGAGGCCCACGCAGCTGTTGCGCAGCATGCAGCACATGCTGGGCAGCGCGGGCCACGACCTCGGCCTTCTCAGGACGCTGTTCCTGCAGCGCCTGCCGCCGACGACCCGCGCCGCCCTCGCGCTGCTGCCGGAGGACACTGGTATTGACGACCTGGCCAGCGCGGCCGACCGATTCCAGGAGGCCTCTGGCGGTGCCGCCGTGACTGCTGTTTGCACGCCGACGGCCGGCGTCGCTGCCGCCTGTGGCCCGCCGGCCGGCCCTGGGGTCACGCTCGCCCCGCCGGCCAGCGCGGTGGCCGCCGCCGGACCGCCCGCCGCCTGCGGGTGCGGTAACTCCGGCATGGCCGCTGCCGTCACCGCCCTCACCGCTGCGGTAGCACGCATCGAGGCCGTGTTCCAGCGGGGCGGTGCCGACGCTCCTCGGCGTGGCCGCTCCCGCTCCCGTCCGCGCCGACCCGCACCTGCCTCGTCTGGCAGTTCTCAACCGGCATCGGTGACACCTGATGAAGGGTACTGCTGGTACCACCAGAAGTACGGCGCGGAGGCCCACCGCTGCAGACCGCCGTGCTCCTGGTCGGGAAACTAGCCCGCCTGTCCGCGCTAGCGCCAGCGGAGACGGGCCGGCCAACACTGGCGCCCCTCTTCTATGTCACCGACCTTGCCCGGAACTGGCGGTTCCTCGTCGACACCGGCGCACAGGTGAGTGTAGTCCCACCACGAGTCGTGGCCGACGGCACCACTGTGCAGCAGCCCGACGCGCCTCGACTGGAAGCAGCCAACGGCACAGAGATCAAGCTCCATGGCGTTATTTCGACTTCGGTGCGTTTCGGAACTGTGGACTACCCGTGGACATTCATGGTCGCCGACGTATCGATGCCGATCTTGGGAGCGGACTTCCTCGCCCATCATCGTCTGCTGGTGGACATGCGCCGTCAGCTCCTCCAGGCTGAACACGGCACGACGTGCGCCGTGGGCACCCGAGCCGACATCGGCTCCGTCGGTGTGCGCATGTGCACGGCGCCCACTCTCGCAGACTTGTTTAGAGAGTTCCCTCGAGTGACGGCCACATCTGCGCAACTCCTGCCCGTGCGCCATAACGTCACTCACCACATCGTGACACGTGGACCTCCTCGTGTGGGGCACCCTCGGCGTTTGCCACCCGACCGACTCCGCATCGCCCGTCAGGAGTTCGACAAGCTGATCAGCCTCGGGGTCGCCCGCCCATCCAAGAGCAGCTGGGCGTCGCCCCTCCACATGGAGCCCAAGAAGGAGCCCGGACAGTGGCGCCCGTGCGGCGACTACCGCGCCCTGAACGCCGCCACCGTCCCGGACCGGTATCCCATACCGTTCCTGCAGGACTTCTCCGCGAACCTGCACGGCTGTACCATCTTCTCGAAGATCGACCTCGTCCGCGCGTACCATCAGATCCCGGTCGAACCCGCTGACATCCCGAAGACGGCCATCGTCACACCGTTCGGGCTATTCGAGATGCAGCGGATGAGCTTCGGTCTTCGCAACGCCAGTCAGACATTCCAGCGCTTCATGGACGAGGTGATGCGCGGGCTGACGTGCTGCTACGTGTACATCGACGACATCCTCATCGCCAGCACGTCCGTCGAGCAGCACCGCCGTCACCTCCGTCAGGTCCTGGAACGTCTCGACCAGTTCGGCGTCACGATCAACCCAAAGAAGTGCGTACTGGGCGTCAACCGCATCAGCTTCCTCGGTCACGATGTGTCCCCGGACGGCATCGCCCCGCTGCCGGAGAAGGTCGCCGCAGTCCAGGAGTTTCCGCAGCCGACCACGCAACGCCAACTGCGTAGGTTCATCGGCCTGGTGACCTACTATCACCGGTTCCTGCCTGGTGCTGCCGGCCTCCTCCGACCGCTTCACCACCTGCTGGACCAGAAACGCAAACGCGCGGCGCCGGTGGAGTGGACGCCAACCGCTGAGGACGCCTTCCAACGCGTGAAGGCTGCCCTGGCTCAGGCCACGCAGCTCGCGCACCCCACTCCCGGCGCAGCGCTGAGTCTGCAGGTCGATGCCTCCGACACCGGCGTCGGCGCTGTCCTGCAGCAACACTCGCACGGGACCTGGACGCCGCTGGCCTTCTTCTCGAAGTCACTCCAACCAGCAGAGACACGCTACAGCACCTTCGGCCGCGAACTGCTCGGGGCGTATCTGGCGGTCAAGCACTTCCGGCACACTCTGGAAGGCCGCCAGTTCGCCATCTTCACCGACCACAAGGCCCTCGTGTCGGCAGTCTCGTCCGGGTCAGCCAGCTACTCGCCGAGGGAGATCCGGCACCTGGACTTCATCTCCCAGTTCACCACCGACATCAGGCACGTGCCTGGGAAAGAAAACGCAGCTGCGGACGCTCTGAGTCGAACAGTGGCGATGCTCTCAGCACCGTGCCCGCCAGTCGACGACTTCGACGAACTCGCAGCCTGCCAGCAAGAGGACGAAGAGCTGGCGCGCTTCCGCTCGACAGAGCACGGGCTCAAACTCAGAGACGCCCGGCTCCCCAGCGGCCGCACGCTGGTCATCGACGAGTCCCAGGGTGTACCGCGGCCGTGGATCCCGGCACCGCTCCGGCGCGCCTACTTCCGGCACGTGCACGATCTGGCCCACCCGGGAGTGCGCGCCACCGTCGACCTGGTCACGCGGCGGTTCGTGTGGCCGTCGGTGAAGAAGGACGCCGCACTCTGGGCGCGCACCTGCGTCCCGTGCCAGCGCACCAAAGTCCACCGGCACACGACAGCGCCGCCCGCATCGTTCCCGCCACCTGCCGACAGGTTTCGACAAGTGCACGCCGACCTGGTCGGCCCGCTGCCGCCGTCTGAGGGCTACTCGTATCTTCTGACGGTGGTGGACCGGTACAGCCGCTGGCCGGAGGCGATCCCGCTGCGTGGCATCACGGCGCGAGAGGTCGCCCGGGCGCTGATCTCCGGCTGGATCTCTCGGTTCGGCGTCCCGGACGAGATCATCACCGACCGGGGCAGCCAATTCGAGTCGGCGCTCTGGGCTGAGCTGTCCACTCTCCTGGGCTGCGCGCGGCGCCGGACCACCGCGTACCACCCCCAGGCCAACGGGATGGTGGAGCGCCTGCACCGGCAGCTTAAGGCCGCGCTGCGCGCCGCCGCGCCCGCCCGCTGGACGGAGGCTCTTCCTTTGGCGCTGCTCGGAATCCGCTCGGCGCTCAAACAAGACCTGGGCTGCAGCACTGCCGAGCTGGTGTACGGAGCGCCTCTACGCCTACCTGGTGAACTCATCACCCCGTCCGCCACCGCGCCTCCTACGCCGGAATCATTCGCCGCCGAGCTTCAGCGCACCATGGCGGCACTGCGCCCGACGGCACCACGACCAGCACCAAGCGCGCCGTCGTACGTGCCGCGCGCGCTGGACCACGCCTCGCACGTGTTCGTGCGCCACGACGCAGTGAAGCCGCCGCTTGCCCCGCGTTATGACGGACCATACAAGGTGCTACACAGATCGGCGAAGACGGTCACTGTGGACCGAGGCGGTCGTTCCGACGTTATCTCCATCGACCGAGTCAAACCGGCGCACTTGGAACGGCCCCCGCCTGCTCCAACTCCGACAGCATCGCCGTCTGCGGTCCAAGACACGGCGCGTTCCGCCGACTCGGCAACACCGGCCTCCGGCCCAGAGCTCCTCCTGCCAGCGCCTCGCGCACCGAAGCCACCGCTTCCGCCACCGCGTGGCGACCTGCCGCTACAGCCGCCGCCTCCGCCCGCGCCCCCACCGCCGTGCCTACGGACGACCCGCTCCGGCCGTGCTGTACGGCCACCAACGCGTTTTCTTAACGTCACGTTCGCAGTGCCGTCTCTAGGGGGAGGGTGATGTAGTGCACCGCCGCACGTTCTGCGACGCGGCGCGGCACTACCGCCGCTGGCGACTGGCGAGCGCTCCGACGCGGGGCGGCGCCACCGTCGACCTCAACGTGGCGCTGCTGTCGCAGCTGACGCGAGGCGCAGGTTCAGCGATATCCGCCAGATGGCTCTGCTCCACTTGTTCATTTTTTATGTCCGATTTATTAATGTTTTAGAAATGTATGTTCGTGTGTATGTATCATAATGTTCATCGTCGTGTGGGCATTCACGCACTCTTCTAGAAAGTATCTCTCGCTCTGATATACGTTTTCTCACTGCTTTGTACTGTCCTTAACTTTGCCAAAACGAACTATGGTTTCATCGTGTGTTCACTACATAGCTTGCTCATGCTGATTCAAATACTTCGCTATCCTTGGCCGATCTAAGTGTTTGGGGGAGACGGCTCCACATCAGGGAACTTCCCAGCCCGTCGTTGTGTGGAATCCCAAGTTGCGAATCCCAAACACTGGAACGGCTTCATCCGGCTTAGAGCACGACTCGCCACGGCACCAGCCACAAAATATTCATTATCTTGAATGGTTTTTAGCACAGTTTTGAGAGACATTATGAATATAATAAGAGATATTAACCTTACTCTCATATTAGCCAAAAGATATAAAATTTCAAAAAGACAAAATACAGTTTCGGGAGCTTTCGGCTTTGCGCCTTTATCAACCGTTATGTATTATTTACATACATAACGGTTGATAAATAATACATAACGGTTGATAAAATCGCAAAGCCGAAAGCTCCCAAAACTGTATTTTGTCTTTTTGAAATTTTATATCTTTTGGTTAATATGAGAGTAAGGTTAATATCTCTTATTGTAAAATATTCAATTTCAAATTATGCTCGGTAAATACATACAAACTGTATCTTCAAAAATTATCATACTATGATGACGCATAAGCGTAGGAACCATGGGTGCAAGGGTGCAGCTGCACCCACAATATTTATCCAGTGGGTGCAGACAATGTATTCTGCACCCACAATAATCTGAACCAAAAACCCCTTTTTCATCAACACTACTTCCCATGCAGCACGGCAAATTCAGGATATGTTGCCTACTATCCATCTTTCGAAGCATTTGCTACTGCATGATCAGTGATGGTCTTGAAAACTTACATTTGTGCTGAAAAAAGGGAAATGGAGCATGTGATTGAACACATACCGAACCGATGACCCACTGTCAAAAATTTTAGCCCGATATCTTCGAAAATGGCTAAGTTGGCCGCTTTTACTTTTTGCGGTAGTCAATATTGACAATATTAGCCCTCGAATGTGTGCAGCGTTTTCCAGCTTCTAATGTGTAGGGGGAGGGGGAGGGGGTCGGTCGGACCCCCTGCCGTTGGGCCCCTGATCGAGCTAGAGCTTCGCGGAAAAAACGAGGGTGTTGCCCGTGACGAGAGGAAGCCGATGATACCCAATTTTAAGGTCCTACGTCATTGGTTGACCTTCCAGGTCAGGTCAATATTCCAAAAGTCGGGAAAATCGGGACCTGCTAGAACTGCGTAAAGTGAAGCTGTTATCGGGTTTTTCGGGGTGCTGCTCACGAATATCTGATGTTAGTTTTGATCACAGATGATTTCTTCATGCATTTAGGCCAGATCGGGTCAGGTCAGGTCAGGTCAACCATTAGGCATCCTACCGGCTATCCATAGTAGGTGTCAACTACCACTGACGGCGTCGTAGCATGTCACGAAAGCACTAAAACTACTTCGTAAACGTTCAAATGGATGCCAAATTCGAAATCAGCCCGAAAAACTACCCTAGAAACATGTAAAACTCGAAAAAAATGAGCCGAGGTCATCAAAGGTCAATGACCTGACCTGACTTTCAGATGACCTTCACACCCACCGTGATGCATGATGGGACGAACATCATTTCACATGTTTGGACGTCTACAATCACAAAAAGAATGGAAACGCGAGGATAATGTGAGCTGACATACGCCAAATCGCGATTCCGGCCGAACATGGTCTCGAGAATCAGGTCACAGGTCAAAGTTCTTTTGGGTCAGGGTCATGAAATTTTTAGAGTAGGTGTAAAACTGATCAACTCGAGGGTACTAAAAGTTTCGTCGCGATCGGCCGCTTTTTGCGCGAGTTATTTGCGAACAACCATGGGGGGGGGTTCATCCGACCCCCCGACACATGCGAGGGTCAATGCTTCCAAATACACTTATCGGTTGGTACCTTTTCGACATGGTACACCCTCAAAGCTCGTAACGAGCCTTCGCTCGGGTGTCGCCCCCCCCCCCCGCTTCACCGGCCATGGCTGGATTTCTGCACCCATGCACCCACAATGTTCCAGCCGTTCCTACGCCTATGTGATGACGTCACTGGTGGCAGCTGGCAGCTAATATCCCTACGGTGGCTTAATGTGTCGACGAATTTAAGGAAAATTTAGTTTCATTGTTACCGAGGTCAGAACGGAGTAAACACTTCTGTCCATGGTAGTAAAGTAATAGGTACTGGTTATACATTACATTGCAATGAAAGTTCGACAGCATGACATTACTGTTCCAATGTTTAGTTCTAAAAAGTACGCATGGAATTTATCGGGAATAAATCACATGTTAAAATAAGGCGACGTTCGATTTTCTCAAGCTCAGTAGCGGCGGAACATCCTCAATCAAGGGGGGGGGGGCACTGCCGCCTTTTGGTCCCATTCTTTTCATGCAACGCCCATAGGGCTAAGGTTAAAATGCCAAAATCAAAGGGGGCACGGCCACGGTGCCCCGGTACCCTCCCCGTTCTGCCGCCTATGCTCAAGCTCAGTTTTTGGTCGTTTCGCTGGGTAAAACGCGTGCTTAGTCGAAAAATGTACTTGGATTCAAACCGGTTTTGAAAAAACGAACTATAGGAATATGCTAAGGATGATGCTTATTTACCTAAGTGGTCTTCCTGTTACAGCATATTCGTTTTAATATTGATTCTGATTGATTTTTGGAGGCAGAAATATATAAATTTAACATAAAAAAGAAATTCTTGCGCGAAACCGTGAAATGTACCAGATTTGGGCCTCAGTGTACCAGCGTACCAGAAAGTGTTGAAATGTACCAGATCTGGTACAATCGTACCATAGCGGCAGCACTGCACAACAGAAATCACGCGCCAAGGGCACGCGCGTCTCGCGCTCACCGCGCTCACGTGCGCAGGCGCGAAGTGCGCGAGCCACGCGCGTGTTGCGTCAGAAATGTCCCATTTGCGCTTTCGCCATAATCATTAAAATGCTGCGATAATGTAGTAGACGGGGAAACAACATAAATCAAAATAGACCACCTTTATGTGGTTTCAACAGTGCTTTCCGCGATAACTAATTTTCGAACCTGCGATAACGATAAAACGATAAGAAAGGTTTGCGATAACGATAAACGATAATTGTTTTCAAAAAATTAGCAGCGATAGCGATAAAACGATAATTGTTTTTAACAGCGATAAAGAAACGACAAACGATAACGTTGATTGTTTTTAACATACAACGATAATGATCATTGTTTTTAACAGCGATAACAAAAGCGATGAGAAGTACAGCTTAAATAAGTGACCTTCAAGTTTATTTGCAGATCTATACACCTAGCAGATGGCAACAGGTTGCGCAGTTGCGCACACATACCTACTGTCGCGCGACATACACTGTCGATCGTCTTCCATTTTTCCATCATACCGTTTATCATTTTATCGTTTATCGTTCATAATCTTTGTACCTTGCGATAAATTTCGTAAATTTAGCGATAAATGATACCTAACGATAACCGATTTACTAAACAGCGATAATTATCGTTTATCGTTTATCGCTCATCCTATCGCATGCGGAAACCACTGGGTTTCAACATTCTAATAATGCATACATGATGCAAAACACAGCGTTTAAAGCATTAACGAACTAAAAAAGTAAAGGCAATAGTTACTTGCAATACAGCAATGCCAATACTTGAGCTCTTCCCTGTGTTATTTTGTGTTGACAGTTGACTTGAAAGGCGGAAGGCAAAGCAGGTAGGCGACGCAGCAGGGGGCAGCTGAAACTGGCCCGGCTACTGCGTGAATGGGTCAGTGGTCGTTCCCAAGATTATTACGGCTTACCGTTTGTGATGGTGATTACCCCCTGACCAGCATCCGCCATCCAGGCGATCCGTCATGCAGTGCATGACGCTACGCTGAGTACGCAGCCGCCGGTCCCTGTCACGTCTGTCTCCCTCTGTACTTTCGCTGGCATCGGACCTATACCTGCTATCTGCTAATACGGCAAGGGAAAAATTGCTGTAAAAGAAAGGTAGAAACCACCCCGGTCCCAACGAAAAACAATCACCAGCGTAGCGGCTACCGTCCTCGTCAGTCATCGGAATCCGGTCGATCGCCCGTTCGTTTCTGAAAATTGCAGGTAAACTTTGTTCTAGAAACGAGGAACGTTTCAATCTCCATGGCTCAAGTTCAACTACGGTCTCTGTTGATATTTTCATTTTTAAACAGGAGAAATGGAAAAAAGCGGCACTAGTACGTCAAACTCGTGTGGAAAAGGGGGAGGGGAGAGAGAGAGAGAGAGAGAGAGAGAGAGAGAGAGAGAGAGAGAGAGAGAGAGAGAGAGAGAGAGAGAGAGAGAGAGAGAGAGAGAGAGAGAGAGAGAGAGAGAGAGAGAGAGAGAGAGAGAGAGAGAGAGAGAGAGAAGAGAGAGAGAGAGAGAGAGAGAGAGAGAGAGAGAGAGAGAGAGAGAGAGAGAGAGAGAGAGAGAGAGAGAGAGAGAGAGAGAGAGAGAGAGAGAGAACTTCGATCTGCAGCATAGATCGCGTGTGAAAATGCGCTGAGCAGACGGTCTTTATATCACAGCGGCCATCTGTGGCGCGTGCTCCGGCGGACAGTGGGGAGGGGGAGGGGGCGGCGCCCGTTGCCGCACACCCCGAGTGCCGTGTTGAGGCGGTGTCGGTGGCGCCACGGTCGCCATGGCCGGCCGGTACAGGGTCCGCTCCGCCGCGCCGGCCGGCCGGCGCCGCTCTGGGCCGTCCGGCAGAGTGGTCAGTGAGCGGCGAACGAGGAGGTTTCAGCGACGCGCGCCACGCCGGCGAGACGGGCCAGCTCAACAGCGGACCAGCACCGTCTTTTGCTACATCGTCTGTTCCGTCCGCCATCCATTGACGGTAGGTGAGTCGGGGGCACTCCCTCACTCCGTCAGGGACTCCGGAGTAAAACGTCCCCTGCAACGCGACTAGATCAAGATAGCACTATGTAGCAGTGGGCACGGGTATGATCTACGTCATGCACGTTTTTCCTCGTGACGGCCTAGCGTGAACGACGGACATCCGACGTAGTAAACACAGTGTAAACCGCAAAAGCGTCTCGCTCAGAGAATGGGAGCGAGCACTCAGCACAGTCGCATAGTTCCGCCGGCTAAGATAGATACCTAGAATGGCCGACGTCCTGTTTAGCCTGCAGCCCAGTTATTTGGCGCCGGGTCCGGTGCAAAGAGCACCCGTGCCAAAACATAGCAGCGGGTAACACATAGCATCAAGCCATCGGGGCTCACTCCTCGAGATCTTGCTCGAAATATTGCCGTACTTGACAAACAGAAGGTAAGACGTTTTGCGAGCGATGGGGGGGGGGGGGGGGGCTGGGAGTGGGACATGATGCAATACGACTGAAGGGGATGGACGATAGATCTACATATTGGTATCCTTGTTTCGGTTTAAATGTATTTTTGACCAAAAATAATGACAACGAGTCGTTGCTCCTTCCTTGAATGAATTATGTGACGCATGAATCATTGCACCTATCACCAATCTTCCCTCACGATTTGAAGCACCTGTTGTGTGCACTGTGCGATATGCCAACTCGAGATATGCGGTGTCTAAATGGACTGAGGCGTCTGAGGTAGCCTCGATCAGATCGAATCGAATGACAAAATGGCTGAGAGCAGGTGGGGAGAACGGAATCTTGGGGAGAACATCGCGGGCCAAATGTAGCAGGTGTCTCGGACTCCAGTGGCGGTATATCATGCGCGTAGCGAGCAGGAATATCACGACTATATGTTGCCACGCACATCGGTTTACGGTAAATGGCAAACTGGAACGCAATTAATATTCTATGACAGGTACCGACAATTAGAAGAAAGATACCAAATGGTACCGTTTAAAGTCGAGGCGCCTGCGGTCGGCGGCAGGCAGCGACGGTATATATGTTACAGGGAGTATGCGATTTCAGTTAGTTTGCAACGACCCTAGGGTGGTTGTAACCTCCCTGAACGATCAGTTTGTTTGCAACGACCCTAGGGACGTTACAAAATAACTGCTCGTTCCGGGACGTTGTAATGAAACTAGGGACGTTGCAACCTCCCTAGTTAGTATGCAACGAACCTAGGGTTGTTACAAAATAACTAGGGAGTTTAAGAATTCATCGAGTCTCGTTATACAGGAGGGCCGTCAACAATCTTGTCCAATGAAAATCTTGTTCAATCTAGTTCATTTAAATAGACAAGGAGAACAAAATGTGAACATTCAGCTCAGGAGTATTTCACAACGGCCATCTAGTACACATTTTGTGCAGATTAGGTGCACATTTGGTGCAGTTTTGTTCAAATTAGATGTGCATTCGCCAGGAAGCCCTTCGTAAAAACGGCTATTTCCCGCTCGTTTCCATTCTATTTGTGATTGTAAACGTTCAAACATGTGAAATGATGGTTGTCCCATGCATTATGGTGGGTGTCAAGGTCACGTGAAGGTCAGGTCAAGGTCATTGACCTTTGATGACCTTAGTTCACTTCTTCTGGGTTCATATGTTTTCAGGCTAGTTTTGGAGCTGATTTCGAATTTAGCACCCATTTGAACATTTACGAATTAATTTTGGCGCCTTCGTACCATGTCACGAAGCTGTCAGTGGTGGTTGACACCTACATGGACAGCTATAGCAAGACGCCTACTGGTTGACCTGACCTGACCGGACCGGACCTGGCCTAAGAACATCAAGACATCATCGGTGATCAAAGCTAACATGAAATTCGTGATCAGCGCCCCGAAAAACCTCGTAACAACCTAACTCTCCAAAGTTTTAACAGGTCCCGATTTTCCCGACTTTTGAGTCACTGACCTGACCAGGAAGGTCAACCAATAACCTAGCCCCGCCCTGCGCGTTTGCGGCGAGAAAAACACCAATAAGGGCGAGAGTTAACCCCGCAGGACCTGCTGGTTTTCTACAAATGCGCCGGCCGGCGGGAGGGTTGGTACGACCCCCTCGTCGTTTTTCGCCCCTGATGGAGTTAGAGCGTCGCGGAAATCACGAGCGTGTGTGCCGTTAGGAGACACAGCAACTAGTACCCGATTTTAAGGTCTCAGGTCAACCGGTGACCTCTGAGGTCAGGTCAAGTGACCCAAGACACGGGTTCGGTTTTTGATTAATAACTTCTTAAAAAACAGTCGCAGAGCGCGATTTTAGCATCAGCGTGCTCACTGCTCACCTTGCTCAGGCGCGTCGAATGGTATACTTTTTGTTCGGATGAGGTCAACTTGGGGTGTTGATCTCGGGTCAAGATCAGGCCAGAGACCTCATGCAACATGACATGTTGCCTGACCTGAGGTCAGGTCATCAGGTCAGGTCAGGTCAGGTCAGAGGACCGGAGGTCATGTTGCATATTATTCGATTTGCAGGTCTTCCTCAGTCCATTGGTGGCTTGACCGACTCCCTAGCTCAGTTTGATCGGGAGTTATTGACGAAAAGCTCGTATGACCCTAGTGACCTCATAAATGACGTCACGCAACGTCAACAATGCAAAATTGAAGCATCTAACCTTGCAAGGAGTGCATGAAATCACGATCCGTGTGCTTGAGATAGTTTGAGATCGTTCCCGGCGCCAGAATAGCAGTTTTCATTTTTCTCAATTGACTTATAGTGGTGAGGTCACGTGACCGACCTGACCTCATGTGATCATTAGGAAAAATCCTAGAGGTACAAGTTGTGAGACTTCTAGAAGATGCACGTACTGTAAGTTGCATCCCCCTGTACAAGCTCCTCTGGGACTGAGGGCGTTGCGAAGTTGCGGCATCTGAGGACCGTCTACTTATGACGTCATAGGTCAGTAACCTGACCTGACCTGAAAATCTGGTTGGTGTCACACGATCCGGCCTGAATCAAAGGTCAGGTATGCCTAGTTTCAGCTCTCTGTTTCTTGCGTGTTCGGACTTCGGAGCTATCGAGAAAAAGGTAGGGGGGAGCGAGGATTAACCCGCGCCCCGTAGGGCTACCGGCGGACCCTACCACCCGTAGGGGGGGGGGGCCGTTTCGGCCCCCCCTAAGATCTCGGAAAGTTACCGGCCGATTTTCAAAATTCAAACGGCGTTCGATAGCCCCACCCGGGAACTACCTTGTGACCAAATTTCATTGACCTAGGTCAAACCGATGACGTCACAGGTCAGGTCAAAGGTCAGATTTTCACCGTTCACAGGCAATTCAAGAAATGTGCTGTGAAAGCGAGTAAATTGGTAATTTATTGAAAACCATTGATGGTACATTGTTCGTCAAACACATACTTTGCTATCTGAGGTCACTGATACCAGGTCAGGTCACAGCGAGGTCAGGTCACCGGGGGTCACAATATGAATGTGTCGTGTGATACATGTTTTATGGTCCATTTTACATGACAAATGCGATTATGTGGGTTAGGCAGCCTTTGGGGCCAGCCTAGGTCACGTTTTTGTGAAGGTCAGGTCAAGGTCAGGTCAAATTAGGTCAAATTTCAAAGTTGATATTTTTGCATAAAATGGGTATCGATTCGATGCAGCTCGTCACGGGGAGTCTAATGGTGGTCTTCGTTTTGCTCTACGAGTTCTAGAATTGCCAAAAATTGAGTTTGAAAATTTGACGTCATCATTTTTGAACAGTTTTTTCGCTATAACTTGGCCAAAAAACGAGGTATCGATCTGAAATTTGGTATGTAGATAGAAGACGGTAGGCACTATCACATATATTCCGGTTTTTTCGAAACTCAAAAAACTTTTTGGATTTTTTGGCGAATATATCCAAAAAAATGCTTTTTTGATTTTTGGGGGTCAAAACTCAATAATTTCAAAAATTCGAGATAGCAGTTTTGTAGCCCTGTCAATTCTACACCTTTTATGTCTGGATCATTTTTCTGTATCTTCAAAGCTGTAGTCCTGACAGGTCTTCTCGCGAAGGTCTTTTTTCGGTCGAAAATGACAGAACATGACGTCACTCTGACGTCATTTGTGGCCAACCTATCATAGCCTCTGGAAAAATTTTTGGTCACAATGTGTAAAATTGATGCCCGGAGGGGTCCTGAAAGTTTAGTGGCGATATCTCCAGCCGTTTAGGAGATATCGACCGAAAAGGACAGGGAGGGGCCGTTTCGGCCCCCCCCCTACGGGGCGCGGGTTAAAGGGACCCTCCCACCTTCAAAAAAGTTTATGAATTGGCATGAAAGTGATGTCGCTCGGTTCAGAAAGAGCGAAAACGAATATCTACCAAATTTCACCGAAAAATATTCACCGGTTTTCAAGATATTAGACTTTTACTTTTGTTTACTTTTTTTGGGATCTCCGCTGTTTCTAGCGACTTTATTTTAGAAGTGCGGCGTTTGCGGCAGATGTTGCGCGCAAATAGCATATACCACCGCGTGCTACAAAACGTTTTAGTCAAACATTTAAAAATCGTTAGATATTTGCGCTGACGTCACACATTCAGAGGGGTATTCCTAAGCATTAGCCCCTCTGAATCAAAATGCTGCAATTTTGAAATTCAATATTTCCGATTTAAGGCATTTCTCGATGTTGTGAGTGCCGAAACCGGTAATTGTGAGCCAGGGACCCCATTTTGGCTATCTCAACTCAAATCTAATGTTAAGGTGGGAGGGTCCCTTTAAGCTAGGCTGGGTTGGGTAAGTTTGGGTCAAGTAGTAGGCGTCCCACCCGCACCACCTGTTCATAGCAGGTGCACCTAAACCACCAGCGACAGCTTCGTAGCAAGTTGCATTGGCACCACAACTATATGTACTTACTTCTCAAATGTCTCAACGAATGCTGGATTCGAAATAAGCTAAAAAAAAACCTTAAAATCGTAAAATTTGAAACAGTCACCCGAAGTCACCAAACGTCAATGGCCTTGACCTGGCCGACAACTGACAAGTCAACTTGAA